CACACACACACACCATACACACACATACATATATACACACACCACACACACACACATATATACACACACTCACACACACACCACACACACACTATACACACACACACACACACACACACACACCACATACACACACACCACACACACACCATACACACACACACACACACACACACACACACACACACACACCTAGAAACTTGTTTTGTTTTCGGTAAAAACATCTTACCTTTCTGTGCAACACTAGTGAGCTACAGTTTTCCTGTCAGCTGACACCCTCCCTACCCAGGGTACCTGAGATACTGTGTTAGCGCTTAAGCTCCTAAGCAACCTCTTGACGGTTTAAGAACCTACTAAAACTGTGCCTAAGGCTATTATTGTAAAGACAGCTGGGTGTCTCTCTGGGATTCTACCCTCACCCCCATCACTACCACTCTCTCTATTAAGCTTAAATCTGCTTTGAATTCTTCTTAATAAATTCTAACTCTGCTTCATCCTGAAATTCCTTTCTGTGTCAAAGTCAAGAACCCCGACTCCACCTGAGTGCAATTTTGGTAAAGAAACTCCTCAGGACGCCAGGCAACAACATGGAGCACATGTCACTGCTGCTGACAGCCTCACAGCTGTGCATGCAAATCCCAGGACAGTGAATCCAATGCCTGACGGGACAGAGGGCACAGGATCTCATTACAAACCTCAGGGCTGTGTGCCTAGACCTGGGTCTTTTCACCAAGCTCAGAGCTATTGTGATGTTTGTTTTTAGCAAATCCTTTGGGATTCTAACAAAACAAGTAGTGGATGACAGAATGACCAAGCTGGAGGGAACCACAAAAGCCAACTATCTGTCCACTCCAAAAGCTATGCACACACCTGGGCTTAGGGTGCTCTCTTTACTTAGCCCAACACACATGTGCTCCACACGCTACAATGGCCAAGCTGCAAACAGAATGGTCAAGCAGTCACCTTGGCAACACGGGTGCTCAGCCCCAAGTTAAGAAGATTGAATGGGCACCTGGTCGGATGCCACCCTCAGTCAGATTCTCTTAGCTCTCTGAAGAGATGTCCTGTGCTGGGGGCCTTGAGCAGTGAAGGGCCACAACAACCTTCCTCCTTCCCCACAACGGCTCTGAAATGGACAGGGACTCAAGTGACATGAGTCATCACTGGCTGAGTTTTCTCTCTTGTCTCAACCCAAGGCCATCTCAATTAAAGTATTATTAGCAAAGCTAGATCTGATTCAGCAAACCTTAAATCCTTATCACCCTCCCCCCTTGTGAGTCATGCTGGACCACAGAAATTCTCTACACAGTACCAGGAACAATTGATCCAATTTGAATGTGACCAAAAAATCATATATTGACTCCCTCAGAAGACATCTACAACAATAGATGTTATACTGGCTGAAAAAACAAAAAACAAAACAAAAAAAAAACCTAACGAGTGGAGAAACCCCATGCCCTCATTTGCTTTCTAGTGTTTAGAAGAACACCGTGATCAAACGCAGCTTGGGGAGGAAAGCGTTCATTTGGCTTACATGTCTCAATCACTGAGGGAAATCAGGACAAGAACTCAGGCAGGAGCAGAAGCAGGAACCACGAAGGAATAATGCTTACTGACTTGCTGCCCATGGCTTGCTCAACCTGCTTTCTCATAAAACCCAGGACCAGAGGTGGCACGATCCTAGGCCCTCCCACATCAATCATTTGTCAAGGAAATGCCCCCAAAGACTTGCCTACATATAGGCCAGTCTGATGGGGACAATTTCGCAGAGGTCCCCCTTTCCAAGGTAAGCCTAGTTTGCATCAAATTGATAAAAACTAACCAACATGCCCTCTGACAATTAATTCTTCTATAATGCTAATTGTTCCTTTTTACCAGACTAACACAGACTCTCTTCTCAGCTCCCCGAGACCACAGTATCATCCCTTCAATCATAGT